TCAATTTAGCACAATTGCAAAAAACTAACAAGTTTTATGGGGCCCCAAGAACTTGGGGTCCTAGGAAACTGCCTAGTATTGCCTAATGGTAAATCCCCTCCTTGTTTAAGGTTAATGGAAAGCCACCAGAGGGAGCAGAAGGAGATGTATGAATCTCAGCTGGAGGGCCTGAGCCTGAAAGTGGACCACCTTCAGAATGAGAACAGCAAGCTGCAAAATCTTTTCCACGAAAAAAGTAACATCAATGAGGATATTCGCCAAGAGGTGTCCAGGCTCAGCAGTGAGAACTCTGTACGCTCCCAGCTTCATTTCATCACCAAAATACGACGATAAACAGCTTAAATGAGTTGATGCAAAGCTTTGATGGTGTTTTACTCCAACAACCAGGTCATACCAGAGCTGAAGCTGCAGGTTTCTGAGCTGCAGAGACAAAAGCAGGAGCTTGATGCCGTTGTCAAGGAGCAGAGCTGCGAGTTAGCTGGTAAGGTTCATCTTTAAAGCTATTAAACTCTGCTTCTGTCTCCTTGAACCCCAGTGGACCACTGCACCACCTGCACGCCCATTTTTATTTTAATTTTAAAAAACTATTATTTTTGTTAAATATCTGCCATAAGAAATATGTTGCCATTTGAAATAACCTCTTAGGATTCTTTGCTTTTAAAATAAGGAAAAACATGAAACAATTTATAAAACTGAAGCTTGGATTTTTTTTTTCCTGTAGGATATTATTTGATGTATAAAAGAAGAAGAACAAAAAAAAATATTTTAAAACACCTCGTTTTCAAGCTAACTGAAGCAAAAAATGGCTCTAAAAACATATTTCTGGTGCTTTCCAGTCTAAGGTATTTGTTCTTATAGTACATTATTTAGTTCTTTCCATCATTTTTAGCCACTATTAAGAGCTAATGTAGAGGGTCCAAAGAGCCACATGAGGCTCTGGAGCTGCAGGTTGCAGACCCATGATTAGATCAGGGGTCACCAACCTTTTTAAGGCTGAGGGCTGCTTCATGGCTACCAAGTCATAGGAAGGGCTACCAGTACTGACCTATATACTCTGCACCTATTGCACATTATCGGGCATCAATGCTGCTGAACGTTTAACGTTTAACTTTTAGCCCTTAAATTTTCATCTCATTTCTATTTTCAATAACGCATTTTTTGCACAAATGCCTATTTGCACTGAACCACTGCAACTTGCACACTGTCTCTT